GGGTATATTGTTACCTCAAATGCTTTCATACTCTATATTGTTGTGTGTTATTTACTTTCAGTTAATACATTGTGTATATCTTTCCATGGCAATAAATTTTTCTGTATCCACTATGTAATCATTGTGGTGGGTGCATTGAATTCAGTGATGTGAATGTACCATAATTTCAGTGGTTAGTACTCTTTCATTGAACATCCAGGTTTCCTTTATCTTTCCAAAATGGCACGTAGATGGTCGTTCTTAACACATATCTTTGTATTCTTGCTTAGCGAGGGAAGAAAAAGGTCTCTTGTTTTAATTGCCTCATTCCCAGGAACTAATGCTGTGCATAGTAGGTTTGTAGCATAATAAATATTAGTTGAGTGAATGAATGGCTTAGTTATTTCCATAGGATTGGGAATAGGGCTTTTAACGTGGGGTAGGACGCGGTGGTTCAGGGAGCTTGGTGATTGGGGGTGTTGAGCTGCTTGGGGCAGGGCTGTATTTAAGCGGGATCATTCAGGTCCACTGAGGCCAGAGATTGCCTGCGAGAGTGAAAGGGGCACAGAGAAGGAGATGCCTTCTTCAGATATTTGTTGAATGCTTACTGCACACCCAAGGGCAGGCAAGAAAAAGCGCTTCCTGTCTTGCTGCCTCCTTCCCACGCAGCCAGCTTCCCTTTTGTAGGGAACCAAAGTTTCAGGCCAGCGTTGTCTGTGCCGCTCATCCTCTCTGTGCCAGCAGCAAGGAGAGACAACCAGATTCAAATTCAGGCTTCCCCACTCATCAGCCTTCTGACCTTAGGTTGCCTAACCCCTCTGAGCCCCTGTCTCGGCTCTGGAACTTTGGGGTGACAAAACAGCTAATAATACTATTTGTGCCTTGCAGCGAGTAAGAGATCAATAAGTGTTAGCTATTGTTAGCTAATATGATAAACTAAATAAGCTTTAGTAAATTGCCCTATGTTCTTTTGTATGGGAGAAATCCACTGTAAGCCCCAACCCAATTTACTAACGCAATTGTAGCATGGTTGAGTTTCCGACAGCATGATCATTTTGTGTGTTAGGGACTACCTGCCAAGTGTATTTGTTCTTTGGGGAGCTCCTCCTTTATTGAGCAGAGGGAGCTGCGTGTTCTTGACCTCCTAGTTTTCAAGTTTTACCATTCCCTTGCACAGCTACCACTAAAGGACAGCACGTGGCCCCATGCTGGCAGGAATTGAAATTTACCACTACCTCTGCCTTCTAGTAGTAGTGAGAGATGTGTACAAGTTTGATGGGAAGCTGTTTTTGCACTTGGGGCCTGGAGAATGAGCTGCAAAATGTTGGTTGGGGGCTCTAAAACTTAAATAAATATTGCTTGTCCAAGTGGAATCAGTTGACTATCTCTCTGCTAACCCCCGGTGATTCATAGGTAAGCCTAAAACCTCAAAAGAGAAGGAAGGAAAGCAGGCTGTGACATTGTATGTGAAGTATTGTATATTACCGAAAGATGTGGAAATCCAAATTTAGTTAAAGGATAGAGAACGCTTTTTACCTGAATTAAAAAAAAAAAAAGGGGCGCCTGGGTGGCTCAGTCGGTTAAGCGTCCGACTTCGGCTCAGGTCATGATCTCACAGTTCACGAGTTTGAGCCCCGCATCGGGCTCTGTGCTGACAACTCAGAGCCTGGAGCCCACTTCCGATTCTGTGTCTCCCTCTCTCTCTGCCCCTTCCCTGCTCACATTCTGTCTCTCTCTCAAAAATAAATAAACATAATAAAACCCAGTTTTATGCTTTAATGTTTTTCTTCTATTTCTTTGATGTTATAAGCCCTGCAGCATGCTCAGGAACACCTGGGTTCTGCTTTTCACAGCTTCAACAGCTTCAGTATTTGGGGAACTTCCTTACTGCTGCCCCCTCTCTCTCCACCATTTATTAAGGGACAGTATTAGAATTATTGTAGTTAACAGAAGTCTCTGATGTCTTTCCTCTATTCTGCTAGGGCTCCCATATTTCTGAGTTGGGAAAACCAACTGAATGACAGTTGGTGTCAGGTCAAGATTTCTTTCTTTTTCCAGTTGGGACTTAGTTTAGACAAACCAAAGCCAACTGGGCTATCCAGAACTCTCAAGGAGTAAGTCTTTCTGAATGAAGGTTTTCCACATTGCTTAGGGATTTACATGCTCCTAAACTAAAGCAGTGGAAGTAAAACATGTGACCCTCTTTGGAATGGTTCTTGCGGCAGAAGTATCCTTCTTAGCCTTCCCAAGAGGAATGAAGGGGACGTGGTGAATGAGTTCTCACAGTGCCCTGTGAGCTATACCCTGAATGCACAGGCCCCAAGCAAGTGCTGCTCACTTGCTCTAGTGGGAGGGCTCCAGTTGAAATGTTAGGTGTGTGTATATATGTACACAGATACACTCACATGTACATGTACACACACCTACCTGTATATATACACACAGATACACTCGCACATGTATATGTATGTTTTAAAAAACATCATAGCACTATATAGAGTGAGAGTGAAATGAGAAAAGTTTGAAAAGTCAAATCCATACAATGATACATGACTTTAATGATAGGATAGGATTATTCTAAGTAAGCAGTGTGATTTTCATTTCACAGTTTGCATGATCACATTTCTTTTGTTACTATTTGCCTTTGAATAATAACAAATAATATATAAAATAATTTATATAAATATATATAATAAACATGATATAAATAGAATATATATATGTATATATATATTTATATATACACATAAAATCCATTTATTTTCCCCCTTCTGTGGAGATAGTTTAAATGTTGATTGTACTATGGGAATGGCTATCATGGGAAGGATTAACTGCTTTAAAAATATTTCTTTTGGGGCACCTGGGTGGCTCAGTTGGTTAAGCGTCTGACTT